CCAGTGTGCAGATCCAGGATCTTTAAACAAAAAGGGGAGTGGGGTCAACCATTGTCCACTAGGAAGCCACCGTTTGGATTGTTACTTGTACAAAAGCCTATTCATTTATCATATGTGTAGCTCTATCAGGGGGTTGAACTCCTTGTTTCCCTTAAACCGCCTTTGCCTCATATTTGCAAAATTATCACCGAGCGCTAAAACTGTTATATGTCACAATGTGGGTATTTAAATCTCGTGCTGCATTGTTTTGCAATTTGTCCACTGTGCCTCCAACTATGCCATTACAACTCACACAATATTGCGCTAAATTAATCCGGGTTGTAACATTATCATATGTCGTTCGTTGAAGCTCGAGTTAGAGGTGAAATAAATTGTCTCCTAATTTCGAAACCATAAGTACATGCAAACATGTTAAGGTGGCACGGTAGTATTTCCTGGCCCATAGAGATAATGATAATCTTTTAGATTTTTCATCACTTTCTAACACTGCTCAAAATTCTATATACACAGTTAACGGAAGTGCTTTCATTATAATATTCAAAAAATAATTTGAATATGTATGATGAACGTTTACTTTTTTTGCTATCTTTATAAACATAAGGCCACTAGTGCTTTTACGTCTTTTATCATGCAGTGAATAAAAAATTAAAAAAAATTCTCAAAAATTCATTTTTACCTGTATGTAAAATTATTTCATATTTTTCTACACCTGATTCATCCCTCAGTGTTTTGTCCAATCACACTGTTCAGATACATTGACTTAAGTAGGGTACACAAAAGAGCAACCTTAATTCCGGAATATAAATACTACCGTGCCATCTAAAATGTCAATATGTAGCACGACGAGAACGAACAATCGAAACAACCTCCGATTAAGCTTGTATAAATTCCGACATTCAACAGTTTCTGCGATGTTATGGATTATAGTTAAAACACAAACGATGTTGAAAGAAAAAGCAAAATAAAAATAATCGTAAACACTTTTGTTGCAGAACAATGACTGTTACACAATGTTCATATAATGGTTGCGATATATTTCATATCTTCGAAGTCAATGACAATGTTCGTGTACATATATATCCAAGTTGGCGAAAGAGTTTCTTCTCATCATCAATATTCCTCAGTTCAAACAAATTATGCACGAACGAATGCATCAATAAAAATAATATAGAGCCTTCCTCAAATATATCCAACAATTTAATTGTGTAAAAGTCCAATTAACGAATGAAAATTTGAAAAATCCCAAATAAAAATGTTGTTTACAAAATATCGATCTGTATATCAACAAGAATATGTAATAAGATACATTGTGTAGAAACTGACCAATGGTCATCCAGCCAAAATATCGTAATGCAGGGGTTCCCAAGGGGGTTAGGAAAATGTAAATTTCCAAATAAATTAATGGTTTCCTTCGTCTGCATAAAAATAGTTATTAAAATAACTTGCCTTTATTGTATCGAATGCAGACAGGCTTTCGCGCAAACCATTCTTATCAGACTGCATTAACAGCTTTATTGGATAAATGGCTTAAAGCCATTGATGCTGGCGATCTTGTTGATACAGTGTTTCTTGATCTAGCAAAAGCCTTTGATCTTCTCAATCATGAACTGCTTCTTTAAAAAATTATACAAATACAAATTTGCTTATACTTCGCTACCTTGGTTTACATCATATTTGGCTGACAGATACCAGATGGTATATATTTCAAATACATTTTCAGACGTAGAAAAAAAAAACGGATGAACTCCAATGATCCGTTTTAGGACCTGTTTTTTTAAAATTTTTATAAATGATCTTCCTTTATCTAATCCTAATCATAACACCGATTTGTTTGCTGATGATAGCACCATATCTGTCATTTGACAAGACAAGATTTGCATCAGTCAAACACTTAATACGGTTTTACAAGAATTTTTTCGCTGGTGTGATGACAATAAAATGGCTGCAAATGTATCTAAGTCGAAACTTATGTGTATTGGCTCTGAACAGAAGCTTTCTGTTACTTCAGATGAATACATTGATCTTGCCATAAATGGACAACAAATTAAAGAAAGTAAATGTGAAAAGGTTCTAGGTATTTTTGTTGATGCATCTCTCTCTTGGTCTTCTCATATTGATCATATAATAAAAAAGTCAACTCTTCTTTAGCTTTACTCAAGAGGATAAAGAAATACTTGAATCACAAAGCGAGATAACTGTTTTATAACGCTTACGTTTTACCTCATCTGTGACTGTTGTTCAATATTGGGAAACTGCAACAACTTTCTATTAGATAGTTTACTAAAACTGTAAAATAGGGCAGCTAGAATAATTCAAGACGAACATGATTACAGCAAACCTTCTAGCGAATTATTTCACGAATTTGACATTGTGCCGATTACAAAAAGAATACATTATCATAAATCATTACTAATGTATAAGGCAAAAGATGGTTTAGTTCCAGAATATTTGCCAAGTCTTATTTTATAAGTATAGTTTCTCGTACAGTGGACCAAAAGTTTGGAATGCTCTTCCTAATACAATTAAAAAATCAGTATTAGAATTTAAGCATAACTACAAATCTATGTACTTTTAACATTACCATGATATTTGTACTGTAATGCAATATAATAATTGTTTATTGAATTTAAATTGTCTTGCATCTTTATTTATCATTATTATTGAATTTGTACATGTATTGTTTAATTTTTAATATAATTATTATTGTATTAAGAGAGCCTTATTGAAAATTGGTGTAATCCAAATGAGTTACTCTCTCTAAATAAAGATATTATTATTATTATATAATACCTACAGTGCAGCATATTTTTCTAAGTACGGATTTAAAATTTCCATTTAACGAAATTTGTTGCCGTGAGATTTTCGAGGACGTTTACAGACCCAGGAGTTTATATACTATTGAATAGTGTTCCTCTCTAAAATATGCTTTGGGACATATGCAAAATCTTGTTTTATGTATACCAAGCTGTTGCTTACAAAAATCCAATAGGTCGTATGGTTTTAGAGCAGTTTTGATAAAAAGGAAATATTTTAAAACCAATCATTAAGGTATTGTTTCTTTCCAAACTACAGTGAAAAAAATATGTTAATGGAGTGTTTGTTGATAGCAAAATGTCTAGTGACAAATATTTTAAGCATGCTCAATTCACAAAGAAAGATTTGTGTAAAGTGGAAAAAATGGCTGATCGCAAAGTGGAAAAATGACTGATCACAAAGTGATATATATAGATTATAACATGGCATTTTTCATATCAGACCCCTTATCAGCCCTAGGTCATGATATCAGCCCGAGAGCCGACAGGCTCCAGGGATGATTTTGACCATGGGCTGATAAGGGATTTGATATGAAAAATGACATGTTATGTTCTTCTTATCATATACTTCAGCAAAAGAAATACAGACTTTGAAAAATGCACTTATCGTATTATTTTTCTTGCATTTTTTAAAAATATTTTTTCCTGTTTCCTAATATTTGTTTTTTTTTATCCTACTTAGTTATGTTTTTCACTAATAATGTACCATTGAGGTGTATTTTCCGGAATTTGCAGAATGACGTCGAAATGCCAAGGGATAACGTTACAGAAAGGCATGCGATAATAACCGGAAGCAGTTGATATAAACCGGAAGCAGTTGATATAAACAGAAGGCAGTTGATAAGGAAAGTCATATCAAACGGCTAAGGCAATTCTTCAAATTTAATAAATAAATATATGAACAAATTAGTTTTATCAAGGGGTACAATTATACCACTATTTTCAAAAAGTATATGATAAATATATATATATTCATCTTGAACAGATACTGAAATACCCCACCAAAAAGGGTCGGACGACAACCAGTTTCTCCTTTAAATACATCGGACGTGGTCACTAGAAGAGGGTGAAAAACAATATTATTCGGTAAATTCGATCTATGTGTCTGTATATAGATTTTGGATTTTTCTAGATATTTGAAAGAATTCGTTAAGGAAATTCAACAATACTGTTTATTGACCATTTAATCTGTTTTGTAGTACCTAGGACTTCATTTACTGTAGGGTACCATGTCATTTCGGGTAAGGGATGTGGCTTGGTTTAAGCTAGGTTTAAAAAAAGAATAAGGGTATGTTATGGGTAAGAGTTTGTTTCAGGGTTAGGGTAAATATAAAGGAGTCCGTGGTTAGGGTCCCCTAAATATCTATCTATTCTCACCACGAATTATTGCTCTGCTAATTTTGAGTGTCGGTTTATTTTATTCTAATTCATTGGGAAATTTCATGGTCATTGATACTAATTTTTGTTTTATTTTATATTAGTTCAAAGAGGCGGAGCTAGACGGTGCAATAACCAACTCCAAGATCAAATGTAATGCACCGGTCTAACCGCTTCCTATTATTTGACGTATCTATGTTAAGCGGCCAACTACGGGGTTGGATAGTGCAATAACTTCCTGTATATTCACTCCTTTATAAATAACAGAAGTTAAACTACTCGGAAGATTACAGAAAAAATACCATTCATGTAACAAGTAGTTATATATCCTAGGCTTTCAAATCTTTGAGATTGATCGTTTCCAATAAAACATAACCCAGAAAAGCGCTTCGTACGCACCAATTCAACATTTTAAACACTGAAAATGTTTTAATCATTTCATACTATCTCGCGGTGTTTTTCTCTGCTCATTCTAATTTCAGTACTTGCTAAAATGTTTTGTTTTAATCTGAGATCTCCAAACATATCACAATGGAATCTATGTTAGTCATAGCAAAGGAGATGTATATATTCATTGTAATTATAATCCATACACATATACACACACAGATGGAAATCCAGGGTGCAACAATTGACCACAAAAGACAAATAGGGATATTCAGAAAAATGACGTTTATCAACAACTGTTGTTTGACTATCTGCGAAATAGTTGAAATGAATATACATGAATGTACGATGTCAATATACAGTCACGCAAATTACTTATTTTTAGAAAACAGAAACGAAATAAAAGTTAAACACAATGTTTGTAGACATCAGTCCTTGACTTATTAATCAAGCAGACCAAGGTACGTTAAGATTTGGGACTCTTGATTTTATTTTATTTTTTGGGGGAATTATCGCAAATGCACAAGTTTTTAAATGTATAACTGTGTATCTTTAATGGTAACATAACAAAAAAATTCAAAGTTTAAACACTGCTGCTCATGCAGAACATGTATTGTTTGTTTCAGATCTAATGTACAATAAAGCTACAAAAGAATATAATTTCCGCAATACTAAAATATAAATTTCTAACTCTATTTTGCAAACTAGTGTTTTGATATCTCTAGATTCAATATCAAAAGTCTAGGAATAATTGATATCTTATCTATTTTTTCAGACTTAATATGTATTTACCATTAGTGACAATGTTGCTAGCAACTGTAGTTGTAATTGTCCAAAACCATGAATGTAAGGACTACGTTCTATCGGCATCAGACCAGTCTCTGATAGATATGATGAAACATTATCTGCATACGTCAAGGAAAGAAGAATGTTCACCTTCTGCAATCAAACCATCTGATACAGGTTATAACATTTTATTTCAAGTTTGATATATTTCCGCTTTAATATCATGTTAAATGTATGTTCACGAGAAATAATAATAATAAAAAAAATAATAAAAGCAGCAGTTTGACAACGAATATAGGTTATAACATTTTATTCCAAGTTGGATATATTTCCGTTTTGATATCACGTTAAATGTATGTACAACAGAAATAAAACAAATAATAAAAGCAGCAGTTTGACAACGAATATAAATGACCAATACACTGATTGTTGATCAATAAGTCATGTTGTTTTCATTATCAGTTCAAAATGTTCTCAATAATAAAACATCGAATTTGCAATGGCTTCCAAAACAAATTATGTTTTTTTAGGGGAATGATTATGTCATCACAAAGACATATAAAATGCATTTACGAAATAAGCACACTTACCTTTTTAAAACAATTTTGCTAAAGTAAAACATTAAATTCTCTATAGTAGAAAAGTAATCTTAAAGAATAGACCCTAAACTGAACTTATCTATTTTTTTTTCGTAGGAGTTACTTTCGTGTATTGGGGTAAGAAAAGTTGTCCACAAGAAGCGGTTATAGTGTATACAGGTAATGAAACTTATCCTTGTATTAGATTTGAACTTGAACTAAAAAGGAGTAATTGAACAATAGTTCATCTCTAATCTCCAAAGTATATCGGATTTATTTTTATTGTGTAAATTACCTGTTTTTTTACTTCAATTTTAATAAAGTAAGATGTCTCGTAAAAGCTAATGAAACAGCAATAACTCAACATAATAAGTTAAACGTAGAAATCTTTGACAGGAAGAAAGTTACACTTCTATTTTATGGTATAGTTGGCCAATAAATGAGTTAAAACTGTTTTTAACTTCTTTTGCATTCATTTATTCCTTTAAGGACAAGTTGGTGGAAATGCTTACAATAATAAAGGAGGTGGTGTGAACTATTTATGTCTCCCAAACGATCCAGAGAACGGACAGCACCAATCATATGTCAATGACCAGCTATATGGAGCGGAATATCAACTCGATTCGTCAAAGAAACCTGCTGGATGGTCAGAAAGTATGGCCGATAAGGAAGTACCCTGTGCTGTTTGTTTCCAAAAACAAAGATCGACTGTGATAATGATACCAGGTATGTCAATGAATTAGACTGCCACCAATTTGAAATTGTTTGTAATGAAGTTTTTTTTTGTGTGCTAATGATATCAAAGGCCATTTAACTCATATATTACTTATTTGTTTTTGATATGTTTGATTGAAAAATTTGATAGAAATGGTGCAATGTATCTCATTTAATTAAACAAATTTGTGCTGGTCGATGGTTCTCTCTGGCTTCCTCCACCAATAAAAACTGACCGCCCACAAATTGAAAAACCAATAGTGCTACAAGCGGCGTTAAACACAAATCAATTAATCAATCAATCTCCGATGAATATTTTTGCATGTTATTATAACTTCACAACTAAGACGTTATACAAAACGATATCAGATATCAAAAGGAAAAATTGCGAATCTCCTCTTGAATTTGGTCCCAAATATAGCGATTTGAAAATAAAACATATAATCTTAAAACTTCTAAAGAGAAAAAAGAAAGCTGGATGATAGTTTTTTTTTCGTCTGGACCTGTATACTTAATTTTCAATCAAAAAACGCTTACCATATAACGAAAATGATTTAGCTACTATTGAAGTTGTACCATTCCCTCGGTTTTTTGTTTTTTATTATAATTTGTATCTTCTTAATCGATTGATGAGATATGACAAACGTCAAACTACTGTTGCTTAAATTTGTACTCACAAAATATTGTACCGGTAGGGAGTCAGACTATCTTCACCATATGTTAATCATTGTGGTTTAGCTATCTATAAGACCAGGTTTATCAGAATATTTTCTACGGAAAAAAATCAGGAATATAGCAGTTGTTTTTAACTTGTTCCGTTGATTGATAGCGCTTGATTTTGTCAGTTTTTATGGACTTTCCCTTTTTGAATTTGCCTTTGAGTTCGGTATTTTAGTTATACTTTTTCATTTGTTGGCGGTAACTATGGTCTTGCACTGTCTAATATATTTTTAAGTATTTCATCCTGTGTAATGCATTTCAATTGATTGTCTATGGTTACGAAATATGAAATGCATATATAAATACCTTAAACAAATTAATAGTTTTCCTCTGACCAGTAAAGGTGGCTTATTATCAATCAATATCATACTATATTCCAGGTCGAAAGACTTGCTATAAAGGATGGACCTCAGAATATAATGGCTATCTGATGAGTGATCGTTCAAGTTTTCATAGAAGGGACTACGCCTGTGTTGACAAAAATGCAGAACCATTTGACAGTAAGAATTCAAATGAGGATGGAGCTTTGTTTTTTCCTCTTCGAACCAAATGTGGCAGTTTGAGATGTCCTCCTTATACCAATGAAGCCGATGTTCTTTGTGTCGTGTGTACAAAGTAAAATTTGAAAAATAAATAAATGATAACCTACAATTTCCCTCTGCAAAAATTAGTTTTCAGTATCAATGGTGTGTCGTTATTACTAATAATTGCCCCGAACATAGCTTTGTACTGTTTTTAGCAATCCAGGATCTATACAGGAAATACGTAGTACTTGACGAGCACTTAACAATATTTATAAAGAAAATGTTTCTCTACAACAATTGTATTGGTTCGAATTGTTACATGGCAGGGGATAATTACATAAAGTGTCAGTTAATCAACGAGACCCATTTTCGGTGCATTTTTGTGCATTATTCCACGCAAGTTTATAATCTGGATATCAAATAATTGCAATAGTAAACCTTTTTCTTAAATCTGTCAGTATGATTTTAAGGTGACAAGGGGTATACATGTACGTCTATAAGACACTAACTAAACCACACGTTAAACCCAAACAGGTATTGCATATCCGATATAGGATTTTTTATCAGGATAATTAAATGTCTTCAATATGAAAATAAACACTTTTAGTGAAAGTTAGAGGCTATTTGATGATGTATCTGGACGGATTTATTTGTACTGCAATTAAACTTGCTTTACCAATCATTTATCGAGATAGTTATATTTCTAATGCAGAACTTCAATAACAGGAAAGCAAATTGAAAACGTCCTGCAAAAATCAACCTCAATACTCCAACAAAAGACCCTTCAGTCTGTTTGTACATAATAAAAGAAAAACAAAACGAGAATATTATTGATCATACTAAAGATTTTTTTTTTGCGCCTGTCCCAAATCAAGATCCTCTGGTTTTTGTTATTTTTGTGTGTTTTTATTTAAATTTTGGTTCATTTGTATGTTTTGGAGTTTAGTGTTGCGTCCATTTTTGCTGAATTAGTATGCATTATTGTTTAGAGGCCAGCTGATGCCCGCCTCTAGGTGCTGGATTTTCTCGCTGCGTTGAAGACCCTTTGGTGGCCCTCGACTGTTTTTTTGCTCTTTGGTCGGGTTGTTGTCTCGCTGACACATTCCCCGTTTCGAATCTCAATTATGTTATGAAACTACTTTCATTTAAATAAATGTTCAAATGATTTATGATAAAATTACAACGTCTCATTAAGAGAATCTGTGCAGCTTACTCTATCTTTGACAAAAGTTTAATGTAAAAAACATTTTGTAAGATATATACTGTAAAGTACAGCCCGAAGAATGTCCTCAGATTTGAGGGAATCTCAAATTACACACTCGATTAGCTTCACAGTTTGTAGTCCTTGTCACAATTCCTAATGATTGACCCCAGTTCAGAAATGAATGCATGCCAGGCTCTTGTTAAACCAGATGGAACAAAAGCATCTATTAAAAAATCTCTAGGAACAAAGCGTGCACTATATAAAGCCCTATCATAACTGCATTCATTATACAGACAGTTAAAAAATTGATGACCTACTGGAAAAACATGGATACTTTTACAGAGATATCAAATATTTTCCCGCGAATTTGCAGGAATAAAGTTACAAAAAATCCTCAACAGGAGATGAATACATTGAAAACATCAACAAGATTGTTATCAATAGCCTTTTCAGTGACAAATTGTTTAGCAATTTGCAGCACATTGATATCTGTGAAGAAAAATACAGCTTTACTCCAGATAATTTAATTTTTCCAAAAACAAGCCTTTTTCAATTTCCCATTTTGAAATAAATGATAAAATTATGTCATTCGAAAAATTATCAAAGTCAGCAGTAGTAAACACTGAACTTGGAAAAAGAATGATTAGTAACTATTTTGCACGTAACATCAGCACGCTACAAATTAGGCGCCTTCTGACATTAGGACAGTGAATAGGTTATAGACAAGTTTGACTGCTCGTAAACTAATGCATGCTTACGTCAGCACATAAGGTACACAACTCCATTAAGAGCAACCTTTACCAATGAAGGATACCAAAAAAAAAAAAAAAAAAAAACATGTGAAAGAAATAAAACAAATAAAGCAAAAATGTCACAAATTAACTGGCCTAGCAGATGGGTTGAAAGAAGGCGATGCTGTAGGTAGTATTGTCACTTCTGCAGATATTGATAGTATCATAATTCATCTGTTTGCATTTTCAATTCGATGGCCAAGAACAGCATCAGGAAATATCCGAAATGATGTACATGTGATGCTTCAGAAACCAAAAACATAAGTTTTTAACATAACTTTATTTATACAAACATTGGAACACCGTTTTATGAAAGGAATTGAAATGAACATATCTATTGCATGTTGCATTGGAGGAAATGATTGTATTCCTAAATTTCATTCAATGAATTAATGATACAATCAGCTTTTCAAGGTTTTATTTTGAAATAAGATTTTGTAATATGTTCATTTAGAAAAAAAAATCTTTCTTTTCAATCCAGAAAAATGAAAAAAAAACAGGAAGGAGCAAGCTAGTTGAGTGTACATTATCAACCAGACAACTTAAAAAATTGAACTTTAATTGCTTTATTTGTTATTGATGCTTTGTGTGTTCATAAAGTAATAGATAAACAAAATATAATTCAAACACAATAATTAATTAAATGAAAAAATGATTAAAACAAAAGTTATAATAGAATTTTATAAGATAAAAAAAAGTAAATTTAAATAATTCAAATTTTAATTTAAATGATTCCATTTGAAATAAATTTTAATTCGATAAAAAGCATTGGAAAGTATGTAGATAAAAAAGAAAAAAAATGCTTTTCTTTTATATCAATCAGTTTTGTATAGCAGAATATATTTATGTATTTTTAGTGTGGTCAATCTGGAGATTAAATAATCTTTACCAGCATATCATCTGTGTTTATTTGATAATATCAGTAGTCACCAACTGCGAAAGAAGCACTTATCATGATCATTTAATTTTATGTATACACAATTAATTGCTTGGTACTGAGGCTACATGTCAGACAAAATCCGGGCTGTTCTATAAAGTATATATGGCATATGAAAATAAAATAATGTGGTATATGCAAATATTTGTCACAGTTTAAGATGTTTGACATTCGCTTATCATATTCACAGATATCGCAAAACCATATTAAATATTTTTATTTGCAGTTGAAGGCAGATTTGATTCATGTAAAAGTATGTAACTATTTACCACAATAATCAAAGTAATGAGACATTTAAAATTAAATTTGCCCTGTAGCAAGTTCTTAGGTATTGCAATTGGTATATGCTTGTTTTTATATTAACGGACCAAAGGAGGGGCTCAGCTACCGGACAAACATTGTCAATCCCTTTGGAGTTCTTGGGTTTTCCTCAGTTTTGTCCGTTGTTTGGTATAGTACAAATGGATTTCCGAGATGGGGAATCCCTGTCATCGTTACCGGTAATCCTTCAAACGATCATGTGTCTTCAAGTAGTGTCAAATGTATTTTTACCTATTATGTCTGTTTGTTTTGTTCACACATTGTTGTCAATATGATGGAATTCTATGCGACTGTCATACAAGTGAGAGGTTTAGCTAGCTATAAAACCAGGTTTAATCCACCATTTTCTACATAAGGAAATGCCTGTACCAAGTCAGGAATATGACAGTTGTTTTCCATTCGTTAGATGTGTTTGAGCTTTTGATTTTGCCATTTTATAAAGGATTTTCCGTTTTGAATTTTCTTTGGAGTTCGGTATTTTTGTTATTTTACTTTGTATATGTATTGAGAAAAAGTATAAATAAAAGAAGAATTTGGGGATACGCTAATTGAACGACATTTTAATTCCCAGAAAGACATAACAAACAGTCTACTACAGAAAATGTTCATTTGTCGTTCTTTTCTCCCTAATACCAAATTATTTATTAAATCCCTGACTCCGTTCAAGTTATGCACGTGGAGAGTAATGGAACATTTTAAATGATTGAAAATTCTTTTCAAATATATAAGGTTTATAAATGTGTACACTAAACGTGCGTTTCGTCTACATGAGATTCATCAGTGACGATCGAATTAAAACAGTTTGAGGTCAAATCAAATACTAAGTAGTAGTAGAAGGGCATTTAAAAACGTAAAGTTGTGCCAAATACGAATAGAGCAATCAATGCCTGTGAGTAGAAAATCTTAGTTCAAAGAATAATTTAACATTTGATAAACAGTAAATTTAATGAAAATTTGTCAACATGAAATGCATAATGATCTTCAGGAAATTCTTTGGGTTTCCAAAAAATCAAATATTTCCTGAGTCTCTAACAGATTTTTCTAGAAACATAATCACTATATAACTGTTAAACTCTAAAATTATCTTCAAATGCCTCTAATGTTTCTCCGATGTTGAATTCTACTGTTCTTTAAAATTAAACAGTAAAAAGGAAAGCTCATAACTATTTAAGTTTCATTTCAGATAATTTTTGACACGGTGGTTGTTGATAAAAGTCGTATGATTTGCAATTTAAACTACATAGGACACAAATAACTGACTGGAAAATTAGACAAATACAGAGCATATCTTGTTACATGTTAGATATCATTCAATTTTGTAATTATTCAAAACGTTCTTTTTATATTGCATCTTATGTTCAAGACAAATGAAAAATAAAGCACATAAGCGTATAATCATAACAGTTTAGAAGCAGAAGTATCGACCCAGTCTTAGTTAAAGTATAAAAGGTAACATTACGCATTTTGACTATTAATGTATTTTCAGAATTGCTAAGTGACGAATTATGGAAACATTAAACTAAGACTTGACCAAGAGATTGCGTCAATTTCTGAACACTCCGGCTTCATTCACCTATATAAACTCACCGCCAAGAAAAAGCTTATAGTTCTAAGGTGGCGTTAAAAACCAATTAATCAAATCAATTACCGATCAACTAGGTTAATTAATACTTTAAGTGCCTACAGGAGAACGTATGTGATTACTTCGGAATGTCTTGGGAATTGCTACTATGAGGTCAATGCACCTAAATAAGAAAGTTCACTGAGAGTGTTAAATAATCATAGGGACAATGATGACATCAACACAACATAAGAACGACTGGACTCATCAGATCGGAACAAAGCACAACAATCACCTAATGAAAGACATGCGAAACACAATAT